TGGGCTATTTTTGGTGCTTGCTGTTTCGGTTCAATCGTACTTGCTAACCGAGAATATGCCCCATTATTATGAAAATCCTGCCAGCACGTTTTGTTTAACTTTCATTTTTCTTGTTTAAACTTGCGGCTTAACAAACTCAATCTCAATAGAATTTATTGTTTTAGAATAGTTTGATTTCTTTAAATGATTTGTCGCAGCCGCAGCACAATGGAGAGGTGATAATTCTAATAGGCAAGTTGCTTTTAGTACTAGTAGTACCGCATTTTCCCTTGGGTCTTGCAAAACCATCGGTTTCTTGAAAGTATATGCAACGTGAATACATAAAGTTTGCAATACAGTGTAACCACAACACTGTCATTTTTATCGTGATTGTTGCATGGAGCAATAAAATTGTACGCGTTAGGCATCTTCAATTATCCCATCTCTAGCCTTGGCTTCTCAATACCATCGCCAATACTCGGATGATCAATACGACATTTTTTTATGGTAATTCTATCAAAACACGCGCTAGTTTACATCGCGACATGCATTTATATGTTTTAATAAAAACAATACACACTTGTTAACATGCAGGAAAAGTAGATTTTGTCAAACCAATGGCGTATGCGTTCGATTGAAGATTCACATCACGTTGGGTCTTCGGTACATTCAAAAGTATCACTGCTTGTAATGTTTTATAAACATGACCTGTTAATAGGTATACATTTACAATGTTGTGGTTTTCATCTACAATTTATTGATATTTATTTTTTTAAGTTAATTCACTAATTATCCCAAAACGTTCTGATTTGTAGATAATAGCCATTGAAAACTGATTTAGTAATTTATTAAGTAACACGCCTCATTCACACGAAACTTTCAGCAACTACTCAAAAATGCATTTTTTAAGCCTGTTGACCTCAAAAACCAGACTAGAACGAGTCCAATAGTTTCTTGAATGCATCGATATAAATCTACTTTTCTAAAATAGTTTTCTAAAACTTTGAACGATTTGACCAGATGTAATTGATTATTTTATCCCAACCTGCTTAAGTGTATTCTGCATATTCATACTCTCTTTATAGAGTTTTTTTGTAATATACCACTTGTTGTAAGTGTAAGTTATATAATTTCACCTTGTGGTATGTAATTATGGGCTAATTACTAATTAAATTTTAATACTTTGCCAACCGTAAAATTACAGTGTGTCTAATGCTGCATGTGTTATCATTATATCTTTTCCGTAGCAGAAGAATATATAAAAATAAGTAAAATAGCAGTAATCACTGTAATTACACACGGGCAATCCTTGGCGGGATTTACAGCAAATCTTTGCTCCCGAAGAAGATGCATAGTGAATATCGTAGGAACTAAACACAGTGAAATAGATGAAAATTGCAATTCGCCTTACGCTATAATTAAAAGGCATCTGGCATGTCCAAAACGTTTGGACATTAAACGTGTAATTGCTTCAGTTCCTGGACAAATTACGTAAAATTCTACGATACAGAGCAACGTTTTTCTTCTCCAATTGCAATTTGCGGTTGCATTGTTACATATCAAAAGAAATGATCTAATCTTCTGTGATGTTATTCATTCAGCTTCATGTGGTTTTCCTATTAAAAGTCAATTAGCAAAACAATACCGCAATTTATTTAAAGTCTAAAGAATCGCTACTTTTATCAACGCTTTCACTTAGGCACCCACATAATTCGATTTGTTTAATTTGGTTAAACCATTTTATTGCGACTTCTGCATTTAGTTATTTTTGCAAATCGGTCTGGGTAAGGTCACAGTATTGCCAAACGACTGCAAGAAATGAATAATGGCATTTGCAAACAGGTAATTCCGGTATGCATGACTTGAGCAGGTGAAACTGGAAATAATAAACACAATAATCCATGTCAACGAATTTTAACTAATGATTTAGATTCAGTTCAACAAGCACGTGTCATAATTAAAACAATGTAAATTTCATTAGATTTGAATGCGTTTAAGTAACATGTTTAGCACTACTTTGGTGGTTCTGTAGCAAAAAACTGTCTATGCAATAAATTTGTTATACAACTAGTATTAAGGTATGTCGAAGACATATTGTATTCAATTAGGAGCAAAAAGTAGGTGACTACGTAGGATGGCTTAAGAGTTTAAAAAAAACCATTGTGAAGAAGGTAATTTTAAATTAATCACGGACGCCTACTGAACTAAACCTTGGTTTAACTTGTTTAAAGTTAACGACAAATTTAAATGCCAGTTTAGAAAGTTAACTTCATAATTGATGTGGTTAATTTTCTATAATATTAGGATAGTTAAATGAACAAGAACTACGACTCGATACATACCCTAGTTGTGCGGAAAATTGTTCTTACGTAACCAAAAAGTGTTAATTATGCGAATAGCCAACAATTTAAACTAAGGAACGGGTATGTACATATATTATAAGATATTGACAAACTGGTCTATTGTTTTTGTGAACTTTAGATAAATCTTGGAATTCTCTGGGTGCGTGGAAGTACTTAGTCGTATTTGACCAGCCACAAAGACACCGGTCTTAAATATATTTACTTTCCGATTAAAGTTCGATGTTTGAACGTTTAAATGTCTTATTTCAACGAAACCTGACTTTGCAATTACGTTGCAAAGTGTGCTGCAAAGCTTCTAAAAAGTCTTAAGAGGCAGTAAAGGTATGAAAATTTTCCGCGTATAGTTACACTGATTACAACATGTTTATCAATTGCATTTTCGATGTATACAGGTTCTATATCAGTTAAGTGAAATAATAAATATACTGTTGCTTTGATTAACGCGAATAAACAATACGTGATATATGATCAGTTTATGCTTTCCAGAACTCTGCAATATATTTGCTTTTTATGATTGATCTCGCTGAAAATAGATCAAAATCCTCCAATGATGATGCTAGTTGTGCATGAGAAAACTAGCACACTACAACTCGCTAAAAAATTACCACCTGTTCTCAATGCTGTTCCCTAATAGGCTTGGGTAACTCAAGTGAATTTTTAGGAATTTTTTTGATTTATTTTAAGGGCCATTTATTAATAATATTTTTAAAATTTCAGAATTTTTCAGTTTTAGCCAAGTTACTCTTTCTTCGAAATGCTCAATTTTCTGAAGTTTCAGTTAGAAATGCTGACAGACTTAAGGTATTTTCCGTGAAAAATTATGAAATAAATTTTCAATCCTTGGTCGCTTTGTAAAAAGTTTTGAAATTCCGTTCCAGTGTCGAATTTGGAACAGAATAAGCGAAAGGTGATAACAGATTATTTGGAAATTTCATCACCTCCATTCCTCTGAAGACTGTAGAGTTTGTTAAGAAAAAAGAAAATGTGTTTTTTTAGTTTTGACTGCATTTTTTGCTTTACTTTCTACTCAAAAAGCTCTATTTTGTAGTTTCTCTTAAAAATACTGACGATCTGGACGTCTTTTACGTGAAAAATTACAATATAAATTTATAGCTTTGTAAAAATGTCACAAAAACCCTTTTCAGAGCCGAATTCGAGACAGAAACGAAAACAAATTCCTCCCTTTTTTCTCCGAAAAAATTAAGGTTGTCTCCAAAACCGATCACAAAATTGAAAGTTTTTAATCGAAAACGCAAAAAAACCTTATTTTCGTATTATTTCCTTCTTTTCTGACAATAGTAATGTCTGTTCAGCCAAAAATGACAAAAATTATTTTGCTAGAAAATTCGCCTCATTCTTCGGTTTGCAAGGAACTTTAGACAAACTTTCCAGCTTCGAATTTGGCACAAAAACCAAATAATTTTATTAAGTAATTAAGATTATCTTGAAAAATCGACCAGAACAAAAGTTTGCAAAAATTATTTGGAAAATTCCCCGCCCTTATCGCTGTGAAGGTTTTTAAAGTTCCTTCAAATTTTCAGGTCACTCGAGTTTTAACAAAGTTTTACTGTTAAATACTGGCAAACTAAATCTTGTATGCAAAAAAATTAAAAGATCGATTTTAGAAGAAAACTCGCCAACTTTATTTGAACTCAGTTTTGTTGCTGAAAAAATCTAGTTGCCTTTTTTTAGTTGTTTGAACAAAGTAGTAAAACGTTACTCAGAAAAAATATTGATGACCTTTTTTTAGAATTCATTAACCGATGAGTTATAACTCGATAACTCAGAGAGCGGCAACAATTCAATAGCGCAACTCAACACAGTGTTACACAGGCCTATTCCCTAGTCTTCAGGCTTGCCATTTTTTCGTATGAAGAGGAAAGCTTGAGGTTAATTTATAATGGTTTCAATTGGAAGTAGCGGGAAAATGGAAATTTCCCAATTTTAAAGCGACATGAAAACTTACAATGTGTTTTGGTGATTATGTGCATTGGCGTTCTACAAGATTTATTTTCTTTAGTTGTACGTCGTATTTTGTCATTTACAATTTAGTTTATATAATGACGCTGCTATAAGGAATTAATTTTCGACGAAACATAAAAAAAAGGAGTTTTTTCAATTTTTTCTTGGAAGCTTGAGGATTGATTTTCAGTTATTATGCTAATGCGGATGATCAGAATTTCATGGTGTGAAAACCCATCCTACTTTGTGAACTTGACAATCCTTTAAAAATGGACAGAGAAAAGTCAATTTTTCCTTTTAAGCTAACTGACTACATGGACATGAATAGATTACAAATAGCCTTTCTCTATTGTTCGGCGAATTCGCAATTTTTCTTTCCGCCAATGAGAACAAAGATTGCTGTTTGTAATTTTTCTATGGATGATACAATAACACATTCTAGCCTTCATGTGTCACTCAAATGCTGATCTATTATTATGATTAACAGAATTGATTTTCGGTTGTTGTGTTCCACGTACGAACACGCCATAGCTTGCCAGGTATTAGCTTTTAGGCAATTAGGAAAGGTTTTGTTTCTTAATAAACACCCGTGTATTGCTTGGTATTAATTGTGGTATGGAGTCCTTGGATGTTTTAAATAGATCGTTGCATTGGGACCTCAGAACATTTAGAGCTAATGATCTGTTTTGTTTTCAGGCTGAAAATGGCAGGGAAATGACGTAGCGGGAAGTGAGGAAAGAAGAAAAACCACGACCATGTCTTCGAGTGCCTTTTCGTGCCTAAAAATCAACGAATGCCTGCCTCTATTTTTAATAATATATCTTACTCACATATGTCAGGCATGGCTTCCCGACACAAATACAAAATTCAATAGTGTGAACAAAATTTCTAGTATAAGCTTTAAAGGGAATACAAGCAATTATGTGGATCATTTTACTGTCTTGTATCAAGACAAAGAAACAATTTTACTAGGCGGCCGAAATCGCATATATAATTTGTCAATATACGACTTCAGCGAAAGAAAAGCCGCCGAAATTTTCTGGCCTTCTTCGGAAGCCCATGGACAATTGTGCAACTTGAAAGGAAAAAATGAAGATGAATGCCAAAATTACATCAGGCTTTTGTTTAAAATCAGCCCGGGCAAACTACTGATATGCGGGACCAACTCATTCAAGCCCCTTTGTCGAAACTACTTCTATAAGGTTAGTATGATAACGATGTATTAATCTAATTTAGTTTTATTGACCCTGTTTGAAGCGACACGAGTTATTCTTTTGAGACATTGAACTTCCTACTTATGGTCTTTTTTTGCACTTTTGGTTAATTGACATTTTAACGAGACCATCCTAGAATAGTGACAACCATTCCAACTTGCAATTAGGCCTCAGTACGAACGCTGTTGCGTAAATTGAGTGAAACTTCAACCAATTCAAACTTAATAGCTTAACAAGTGAGTAGGGAAATCAGTAGGGAAATCAGCCTTCTGTGGAAGGAAAAGCGTGATCAAACTTATCAATCCTTTTGTTTGGACATTTCGTTTTAACAATTAGGGCTGTTGAAACGACAATTTTCTAACGTTTTTTAGTGAGTTGATAGCGAGCAAAAAAACAAATTCTTCATCAAAACTCATCATTATGACTTTAATAGAAACCGCGAGGAAATTATCTCCTTCGAAGAACTCACAATTTTAAGACGAAATACTCAAATCATTTGTAAGTATTATAGACGCATCGATTATATACAGGCTGTTCGGAAAATGCGTTAGGAAATGTTTAAGGGTGATACTACATACTACAATAATGGTAAAAAGTCATGTAACAAGAATTCGAAATCTGAATATTTTCCGAGTTACCTAAAGCTCATCAAACTAATTTTATTTGATTTTATTTCTGACCTTCTACCTGACCTATCAAGTTGACCCGCGAAGAAATGTTCAAAATCCGTCAAAAAAATTAAATTTAATGAACTGTAACTATCTAACTGAAAATGTTCAGATTTAGAATTTTTGTTACTTACTACCATTATTTTAACATGTAGAATCGCCCTTAAAAATGTCCTTGCGCATTTTCCGAACACCCTGTATAAATCAATCACTCAATTCTATAAGAAACTGATCTTCTTATGACTAATATTTTCTCCAAAATATTAATAGATCAACTTCTCATCTTCAAAAAAAAAACGAATATCACTCCTAACAAAACCAGCCAAAGCTAGTCGAAGACTAGTGACATTTTTCACATACCTGCTATTAATTTCAATGAGGTTGAAATAATACAAAGCGTGTGTGTGATCTAGCAAACACTATTTTAATAAGTGAGATTTCTCGTGACTTCATGCCTCATGTTTGGCTTTATATAATTTTGCCGATCTTATTATACGACTCAAAATAGTATTTTTAAATAAATTTGCGTGATTTATGTATTCCATCACGCCAGGAGGCAATTGGACTGATGGCAAAATACGAAGCAGTTCGGCGAAAGTTTTTTCTAAAAGGTACTTAAAAAATACTAAAACACGGCGGTGTAACTGGCTTAATTTATTACTTATATTGGCGCTGTTTTCGTATTAGTTTTTTTTTAAGATGACCATGAATCACTCCGCCTGTTACGCTGTCTTTCAAGAACTTGTTGCAGATCGAGTTTTAATATTATCGTGGTGAATCGGATGTATCCTTTTTTAAATTTCAAACAGGTTCCCAACCCACTTGCTTCATTTATTCAGATTCAGTGAGAAAAAATATACCTACATACCCATAATTACATTTAAAATATTTATTTGTTAATTCATAAGTAAAGCAGTTATTGTCTAATCTAGATTCGTTTGATACCTAATGAGCTCTCCAAGGATTTATATATTTTTTTAACGAAAAATACGTCATTAGCCTTGGTTCGGTTAAGCCAGACTTCTAGGCAGACTGATCGTTTGGTAAACTCAACATGTACATGTTACTATGTATGATACGTTTATTTGGCTTTATCTTAATCCTTTGGTCTTTAGGAGAAACTGATAACTTTTGAGCTTTAAATAATAAAAATATTAAAGCTGCTGAATAAAGGGCATATTTAGAAAAAGTCGGATATTTCAGTTAAGTAAATAGCTATATCCCTTCAGTGCTTGATCGTTCACAGATCCATCAACACTTGGAAAGTTTGTTTGTAGAAAGTTTTAAATCCATTTGCATTTTACCGCTGCCAGCAAAGCATTTAATTCAGACAGTGAAACCCATAGAACTCTAAAATATCCTGATTCTAGAAATTACAGTCTATTACTTCAATTCAATTGCCAACTCTCTGGTAGCAAGAACGAGAAAACCTTTAGCCGCATTATCTAAGCTGCAGACTTACAAAATTTGACCACGAAATCACTGGCATTGCATGTTCGCAGATCTGACTCAAGGCGAAGATTTCATTAATGCTGTTTCGTTTTCATAATAGCGCAATAAAAACATTACGGATCTAATTGGATTACAATGTCCAGATCAAATCGCAAGTTACGTGGTAGCCACCCCTAGTAACTCAAATGGGAACAAAAGTAAAATTGGTTGTGGGAACTCAATAAGACTTTACCATTTGCAAATAAAAACCTGTCTCTATCTCATATTATTGTAAGCGATTAAATTGATTTTTTATATAACCTTTGCATTCTAATGTTTTTTACATACTGCAAGCTTGCATGGGTTATTACTATAATTATTGATTGCTGTAATTATTACTTTCAGGGTATTCTTATGGCAGTGTTTTTCAATTAGTTACACGAAATAGGGCTTGAATGAGGTGCATCATGGTTGTTTCGTATTTATTTTTCTATCAGTGCATTGAACATTTAGAATTTTGCAGGTTTTCCCATTAATTTGTTTTAATTTTAACAAAACAACTAATACCCGGAGAGTCGGACACTTTTTAAATTACTGTTTATTTGTAGCTACAAGATGCTAGTCAACTTTACGACTTCCTGGCGTTGTTTTTTTTTAAATTCTATTCGCTATTGCTTCTTGTGATTTGTCCGCCGTAAGCAATAATATATTTCGTTTGCAATATAAAGTGAGTGTTCTTTAGAAAATGTTGTTAAAAGCTATTAGGTTGGTTTCAATTGAACACAGCGTATTATTGTCGAGACAGCTGATTAAATCTTGGTGCCCTGTTTAATTTTCTCGGTGGACATTTTCTTGTTTATGGGTATAATCCAGTTTAAGTCGATTACCGGTTTTTTTCACTTTCTTTGCGCTTAAGACATGTCCTCGACGTAAGGTGAGGTGCGTTCAAGTCAAGTCCCACCCAATCTAGACCAATTAAATTAAATATTCGTTTTATATTATGGCCGCCACAACTCACTTCTTGCCTTGTACAACGGCGTACCTATACAAGAGTCTCGCGTATAAAGTAAACCTTTGTTATTGCACTGCTTCGGTTTAGTTTATATATTCATGCATTGCGTGGTTGTACAAAAAGAAGTCGTTAAAATATTTACACATTGAATGACGGGGAGTTTTTTCAAATCTGATCTCGATCACCGAAAATCTACACAATAATGTAGATTTGTTTAGATGCTGCTAAATTGCAGACATTGTATGTACATACGCTTTAAAAAAGGCCAATTTCATGCTATTTACTGGATAGTTTTTGGCCTCTCCGAAGGTTAAAATCCTTTTAACCAGCTCATTATTGAATCATGTGTGAATATTCTTTCAAAAAAAACTTGTCGATAGCTTGTCTAAAAGTAATAGAAGTGACTAAACAGTTCTTCTTGTTGCCAACTTCTCTCCTCCTGTGAATTTATTGGTTCTTGCCACTCTTTGACTCTTTAAAGCAAGATTTGTTTGCCTCAACTGGTGTGTTAAGTCGCTTAAAATTCAAATAAGAAAAACACAACCGGGTGGTCTTAAAACCTGAACCAGATCATTTAGAACCCGGCTAATGACTTATTTCAGGGCCGAGTTATCAGCACCAATAATGTATGAAAATAGGTAAAGTCGGACATTTTCACTCAGTGCTGTTTCAAGGGATATTATTCCAAATGTTCCGTCCAAATCATCCTATCAGTTTCCTGAAGAGTGATTAGCAAAGGTGCAAAATGTGCCCGATCATCGTTTATTGTATATGTCCCATGTTATAATCTGTAACATTAAAAATCAGTCATTGTTAGAAATGTGTTTACGTCATGATGTCTTCAAGGAAGATTTAAACCGAGTTCTGAATAATTATAGATTAGGCGAGTACCACTTCTCAATTCTATCCTACGACTACTCCATTGTCTCAAAAGCAAAAATCTAACATGATCAGAAATGTAATCTCTTCATTCCTCAAGGAAGTCAATTTAAAAGTAATGTAGCTACAAAGGTGCATGACCTTTCATTTCTCTTTCCAACCATTAACTTCCTACCTAGTTGCAAAAATTGCACTGTAAGCGTAATGTATTGCGATTTTTAATTCCTTCCTTTTTATCTGTACTATTGTTCTCATTACTTTTCGCCTTACCAATACGTTACCTATCTACGATTTATAGTTGAAGATAGCATCTATCGAAAAGTTATCAATCTCTTAATCTGCTGCTAGGAAGAGAACCATTCAATGAGTTTGACCGCTCATAAGTAGACAATTTAATTGCCTACATTTTTATTTTATGTGTATGTCTTTATTTAGACGATTGGTGTTGCAATCAATAAAACCGTCCAATTCACCGCCAGTTTCAAATTAATTTGTAAGGTATTTTGAGTTGCTGCGGGACTGAACTGTGACGAAGATGTTTCACTGTCTTCTAAACGTTTCAATTAATCCATTTTTAATGCACTTTTGCGTCAATTAAGACTTTCGAATAGAAAGCTATTCCTGGCAATTAATTTTTCTATAATCGTCCACAATGTCTTAACATTTTTCAATGGACGTTCGTCAGTGGAATTGAAATTCTGCAACTGTAAATGTCCCGATATTTAAAATGTTGCACCAATCTTTTAGCACTTGCATCTATTTTCTGTCGTTCGCAAATATGCTATTTCCGGCCAAGTGTGTTTCAAATGGAAAGAACTCACGTAGGTAGACAAAATGTGGCTAATTAGTGTCAAACGCGGTGACTAACACTTATTTTTCTATCAGGTTTTATTAGGAATTATGTAACCACTCAATATGGGCATCTGTACTAACTATCTCGGTTGACCTGCTCGCTGATGAAAATATTATTGTCACAAACCAGTTCATCGTAAGTTCTG